TATATATATATGTATATATACATATGTGCATGCACACACACATACTTACATGCACACACAGACTGTTATGAGGGTGTAGAGATGAGGGAAAGGGAATAGAAGGGGTAAGATAAGGAAAGAGGGAAGACATCCTGGAAGTGTAGATCCACAAGTCTAATTCCGGTAAGAGAGAGAATCCAAACAAAGGCAGAGAGTTGAAATGGCGTGATGTGCGTTTGGCACTGTTAAAGGGTGAAATCCCACAGGGAGTGACAAGGAACCTGATACAGGAGGGATGCTGAGGCCAGTTCATGGAGGGACTTGTGTGCAATGGTAAGAAGATTAGACTTTACCCAACCGTGATGGTGATGGGGAAGCTAAGGTTGTTTGTTTTGTTTTTATCATTTAATACCTTTATCGAGGCATATAATTAAAGTGTGCAATTTGATAAGTTTTGACATATGTACATATTTGTGAACCTATCACTGTAATCAAGATCAAGGATCAGCAAACTATGGCCTGTAGACTCAATTGGGTTGCTGCTTGCTTTTGTAAATAGTTTTATTGGAACACACTCACACCCACTTAATTACTTCTTATCTATCAGCTATTTCAATGATGCAATGGCCCAGTTGACTAGTTACAACCAAGACGTATGACCTGCAATGCCTAAAATATTTACTATCTTGGCCCTTACAGCAAAAAATGCCAACTCTTGATCAAGATAACAAGCATATCAATCATACCCAAAAGTTTCCTTGTGCAGCTCTATGCTCTTTCCATCTTGTCCTTCCCTACCTTCACCCCACCCCACTGTCCCCTAGGCAGTCACTAATCTTGATTTGTTTTCTGACATTATAGGTTAGTTTGCATTTTCTAGAATCTTATGCAAATAGAATCATTCAGTATGTCCTCTTTTTCGTCTAGCTTCTTTCACTCAGAATAATTATTTTGAGATTTTGAGATTCATCCACATTGTTGCATGTGTCAATAATTCATTTTTTATTGCAAGTGGTATTCTATTTTATGAATATGCAATGACTTTTTACCCATTTATCTCTTAATGGGAATTGAGTCACATCCAGTTTTTAGATATTACAAATTAGCTGTTATGAACATTCATGTACAAGTCTTTGCATGGACATACATTTTTCTTTCTCCGGAGTAAGTATCTATGAGTGTTCTATGTCTTTAAAGCTGCAGAAATTAGAACTACCCAGTAAAAGATATAAACAGGTATGCTGACTACACTAATAAATTTTAGCAGATGATGGAAGACTGATTATATTACACATGTATTGTCAAATTGTCAAATGTGTTTGACAATCCACATCTATTTATCCTGATTTAATAACAGTATCTCAGTTTCACTCTGTGGGACCACTCATGTCCCACTCTCAGTTCATGTGATATGCAATGGGCTTTCTTACTAGATCAGGGCATAAAGATATAAAGTGATTGGGGCCATGGGGAATGTTTAGCATGTTTCAAGGTCTCAGGTTTCACTGAGTGTAATGAGATTATTTGGGGACTTTTGGGGAAACAGTATATTATTTTTTCCCACAGGACCAAAACCTGAGAGGATGTAAAGTATGTAGTTGCTGGAAGAGCCTGTCTGGAAACGGATCCAACCCAGAGGATGTAGATTAGACAGAGTGACACAGAAACCCATACCTAATGCCAGGTCTTCCTTGGACTTTTTATTACATGGTGTAATAAATTCTTTCTAGTCTCCATTTGTATTTACTGTTTTTCAGTTCCATGATATTAAGAGTCTAACTCATTCAGCCCTAGAGGGCTATTGATTGGAGGAAATAGGATTATAGATTCATTTGTTTTGGGGACTTAATTTGGCGGTCCAGGAGAGTTTGTTTAGTTTCAATAAGCCAAGAAGCTGAAGTTATAAAGGAGAATTTCATAAA